GCAGTGGTGTGATCTTGGCTCACTGCAACCTCCGCCTCCCGCATTCAAATGATTCTCCTGCCTCAGCCTCCCGAGTGGCTGGAATTACAGGTGCATGACACCACACCCAGCTAATTTTTTGTATTTTTAGTAGAGATGGGGTTTCATCATGTTGGCCAGGGTGGTCTTGAACTCCTGACCTCAGGTGATCGGCCCTCTTCGGCCTCCCAAAGTGCTGGGATTACAGGTGTGAGCCACCGTGCCCGGCCTGTATACTAATTTATATACTTAATTAAATAACCATTTATTGCTTATCTTTGCATTCTCTGCAGTATATAGAAGATTTAATAATTTTAAAATAACAGGGTAGAGAAAGTCTTTGCTTTGGAATCAAGTACTACAGACCAGATTTCAAATCCTAGCTATGCCAAATTATTTATTTTTTTAAGTCTCTGTTTCTTTGTTGATCAATGGGCATAATATCTATTCTCATAACTTTATTAAGAAGATTAAATGTGAACAACATATATCAAAGGCCTAGAATAATGTTTGGCGCTCATTATGAGTATTCAGTATATATTAGTTTCTTTTTCCTTTTACTTGAGGAAACTTTATTCCTTCATTTGACAAGTATTGATTAGGTGCCTATTATACCCGACACCATTCTAAGAGGTAGCGATTCAGTGATGAACAACAGACAAAATACATATCTTCAGGAAATTTCTCTTCTGCATAAAGTCAGATAAGGGATTTGAAGGAAAAATAGAGTAAGGAGATAAATAATGATGTTAGGTGTTATTTTAGGTAGGGCTGGTCAGGGAAGACTCTCAGGAGATGACATTTAAGGAGATGACCTTAAGGAAATACAGAACAAAGCATTGGAATGTTTGGGGGAAGATGGCTCCGTGTAGAGAAGGAAAGTACAAAGGGCCTTAAGACAGATTGCTCTAGGAAGAAAGTCAGGTTGCTATGATTGGAATAAACAAAGGTATAGTAGTAAAGAATTGGCCAGCGGCAGATCAGACAGAGCTCTGCAGTACTTTGTCAAGACTTAAGCTTTTACTCTTATGTACAAGCCTGTAGAAGGTTTTGTATATACATAGCATGACCTCATGAATTATTTTAAAGGGCTACTCTAGCTGTTATGTGAACAGACTACAAGGGAACAAGTACAAAGGCAAGATTAGTTAGGAACTTATAAATGGAAAACGATATATAGTTTTACATCCTGAATCCTAAGCAAAGACCACAGATACATTACAACAGTCAGGAAACAAAAATAACACAAATCCCAAAGAATCCACAATAAAACTACTAGAGTTAGTAAATTCATCACAGTTGTAGATCAACACACAAAATTCAGTTGTGTTCACATACATCAGCAATGAGCAATCTGAAAATGAAATCAAGAAAATAATTCTGGCCGGGTGCGGTGACTCAAGCCTGTAATCCCAGCACTTTGGGAGGCTGAGACGGGTGGATCACGAGGTCAGGAGATCGAGACCATCCTGGTGAACACGGTGAAACCCTGTCTCTGCTAAAAAAAAATACAAAAAACTAGCCGGGCGAGCTGGCAGGCGCCTGTAGTCCCAGCTACTCAGGAGGCTGAGGTAGTAGAATGGCGTAAACCCAGGAGGCGGAGCTTGCAGTGAGCTGAGATCCAGCCACTGCACTTCAGCCTGGGCGACACAGTGAGACTCCATCTTAAAAAAAAAAAAAAAAAAAAATAATAATAATAATTCTAACTACAATAGCAACTACAACAACATTCAAAAGAACAAAACATCTAGAAATAACTAACCAAGTAAGTGAAAGACTTGTGTACTACAAACTCAAAACATTGCTTTTGAGTTTATAGAAAAGAATTAAAGAAATTAAAGTAGAAAAGAATCCTGTGTTCATGGAAAGATTTAATATTGTTAAGATGGCAATACTACCCAAAGCAATCTACAGATTTAATGCAATCCCTACCAAAATTCCAATGGCTTTTTTTTCAGAACTGGAAAAGTCAATCCTTAAATTCATATGGAATTCCAAGAGGTCCCAAATAGCCAAAACAATAACGAAAAAAGAACAAAGTTAGGGACTCATACTTTGTGGTTTTAAAACTTAATACAAAGCTATAGTAATCAAAACATTGTGGCACTGGTATGAAAACAGACATATAGATGAATGGAATAGCACTGAGAATCCAGGGATAAACCTATACATCAATGGCTGATTGATTTTTAACATGAGTGCCAACATCATTCAGTGGAAAAGAATATTCTTTTCAACAACAGTCCTGGGACAACTGGATATGCAAAAAAATGAAGTTGGTCCCTTGTCTCACGTTATATACAAAAATCAATTCAAAACTCATCGATGACTTCAATATAGGAATTTAAACCATAAAATTCTGAAGAAAACATAAGGATAAATCTTCATGACCTTGAATTTAGCCATGGATTCTTAGGTATCACAACAAAAGTACACACAACAAAAGGAAAAATAGATAAATGAGACTTCATCAAAAATTAAAACATCAGTAGACATTATCAAGAAAGTAAAAAAAAAAAAAAAAGAAATATTTGCAAATCATTTATCTAAAAAAGGTCTAGTATCTAGAATACATGAAGAACTCTTATAACTTAACAATGAAAAGATGAACAACTCAATTAAAATAGGGCAAAGGACTTGGATAGACATTTGTCCAAAAGTATATATAAATGGCCAATGAGCACATGAAAAGATGCTTAATACGATTAGTCATTAGAGAAATGCAAATTAGAACCACAACGAGATACCACTTCATACTCATTTGGATGGATATAATGAAGAAAATAAAAAAACAGAAAACAAGTGTTGGAAAGGATGTGCAGAAAACAGAATCCTCATAAACTGCTAGTAGGAATGGAAAATGGTAAAGACTCTGTGAAAAACAGTTTGGTGGCGACTCAGAAAATTAAACAGGTACTAAACAAATCCATGTTTATGCATGTTCCTAACAGTACCATTCACAACAGCCAAAAGATAGAAATAACCCAAATGTCCATCAATGAATGAATGGATAAACAAATTGTGATACATACAAAAAATGGAATATTACTCAGCCAAAAAAAGAATGAAGTACTGATACATACTACAGCATGGATGAACCTTGAAAACATTATGCCAAGTAAAAGAAGCCAAACACAAAATACCACATATTGTATGACGCCATTTA